TTTGTGTTAGCACACAGAAATCCCTACTTCTAGCAGATAGATTCGAAGAATACTACTAACTGAATCTGTCTACCTAATTACAGGACCGCAGAATGTGTGGATTGCCATAAAATGATTATTTACACAAAAAGTAACCTATCCCTGTGCGATCTTATCCCTAACAACCATAGTATGGCGTGGTTGTTGCCTACTAGACTGTCTGTGCTCCCAAAAAGTTTTCTCCCTATTGTTGACTCATTGTTAGAGGAGTCCTTCTTCACCGTGAATTTCTTCGGTTTATTCTTCGAATAGGGCGGATCTTCGCAGATAAATACGATTCCTAGTGAAGCTTATATGAGCCTGAGAGTAGCAAAAACATTTGGACCACACCTTCTACCACAACGTTGCCGCCTGCGTTCTTGATTTCGGTAGCAGGCATAGCTGGTTTTGTGAGAAATGCTCAAGGAGAAAGGGATTCCCTTATAGGTTGAAGGCAGCCGAAGACCACGGACATGTACTGCAATGGCTTATAAAGTTATTTGTGTGCAGAATGTCATCAGGAGATACCCATTTTTTGAAAAAGGTGTATTTCATCAGTGAAGGATTTTGAAAGCACGTGCTATGGCCCAAGTCGATCCTCGAAAGTTGAAACTGTTACACATAGTTCAGGGCAGGTCAACTCGTGTGTGTGTGCGGCTTCTTGTTTTTTGACCACCATCCACGTTGAAATATCTGCTCAGATGTACCTCCTGCCATTTGTAACAAGCGGAATGTAATTCCAATCCTCGCCTCGAAACCCTTTCTGGTCTTCAAATCTCAGCTGACCGAACAGCTGACTTCAATTTTTAAAATCATTGAACGAATTGTATGGCAGCAATTGTATACAAGTGATGTCGATACTGACATCTCAAAACTACAACCACCATGTCTCTGAAGCACGTATACAGTTCTTCAGACGGATTAGTAGACAGATCTCTCCAGGGAGCCGTCGCTTTGAACCCATCTCTTCGCTTGTGAGTTCTTCCTTGCTCACTTTTGGCTCAAAATTGATTGATTTATTCTGATTAGACATCAAGCGTCAAAATCTGTGTATGTATACCCTCCATCCCAACAGGCCAAGACCTCCATAATCTCTGGCGGCGGGGCGGGCCATGAACCTGCACATGCATCCTACACAGGGTATGGCATGCTTGCGGCTTCCGTATCCGGCGAAATTTTTGCTAGTCCGAGTGCTAAGCAAATACTGTCAACAATTCGTCTAGCAGCCTACGCAGGCGAAGATGCCCATCCCAGAAGGAATACGATCACGGACAGATCCGCCGCCTACAGTCCGCATAAGAAGGACGTTCTCGTTGTTATCAATAACTATACTGGAGATCGGCTCAATTTCGGTCTTGCCATCGAGAAAGCCCGGGCTGAAGGGATCCGAATCGATAGCGTCGTCGTAGCTGACGATGTATCACTTCTTCATTCTGAAGGCTCTGATCTCGTTGGTCCTCGCGGACTTGCTGGTAATATCCTTATCTGCAAGATCCTAGGTGCCCTTGCAGAGCGAGAATCCTCTCTAGAGAACCTCAAACGAGCAGGAGATACTCTTGTTTCTCACCTTGCAAGCATTGGTGTCGGGCTGGAACACTGCCATGTACCTGGTAATAATTATTCCGGTGCTGCGATGGGTGAAGACGAATGTGAGGTTGGGCTGGGGCTTCATAACGAACCGGGCGTGCGGCGCATGAAGTTCCAAGACTCAGTGAAGTTAGTTGATGAAATGATAGGGAAGATCCTGCGCTCAAGAGGTGTTGTTGACGGAGGTAGAGATAGTTTCATTCAGGAAGGCGATATTACGGTCTTGTTTGTGAATAATCTAGGAGGTATGTCTCAATTAGAGATGGGTGCGATAATGACCGATATTCTTGCTAGATTGGGTACGTGATTTCAATAGAATCTCGATAATGAAACTCAAATCAGTTTAGCTCTCTCCGACATACATCCTCTACGAATCTATAGTTCATCTTTCATGACCTCACTCAATGCCCCTGGTTTCTCTGTCTCCCTCCTCAATGTCTCCGCTGTCCATCGGACACCCCGCCCTTCTGCGATTTACCATCCAATTGACGTTCTCGGATTATTAGACGATCCTACCGAAGCTCACTCTTGGATCGGAATACGCCGTTTTTGGCCTGTAGATGGCCAAAGAGACTGGCGCGGGCAACAACGCGCTACTGAAAAAGTGCTCGGTCTAATGTCTATGGGTAATGGAACGTCCAAAGCAAAAGGAGAGGATCCCTCTGCGGAAACGACGTATTGGCATCAGGTTGACGTCTCGCCCGAAAGTGTGAAAAAAGGAATTATGGGTGCATGTAGAGCTGTGCTCGACGAGGAAGCGTTGTTGACTGAATACGATACTATTGTGGGAGATGGAGATTGTGGTACGACGTTCTCGCGGGGTGCAAAAGGTGCTTGAGGATCTAATAATAATCAAAGTCCGCTAACTTTCACTGTAGCAATTCTGTCTGCAATTGAAACGCAACAACTCGAGGTCAACAAATTATCTCCAGGTCAGTTGGTGCATTGTGTGGGCGAGATACTCGAAGATAACATGGGGGGAACCATTGGAGCGTGTAAGAAATCTCGCTTTTGGTCGAATATGAACAAGATGACTGAAATTCTATCCCAGTATTCGCTATCTTCTTCACGGCCTGGTCATCTGCCATAACACGAATGATTCATCCATCAATGACCTCCATCTCCCCCATTCATTTTATGGACACTCTCCCTGACGCCTTAAATTCGCTCGCACACCACACGTCAGCCAAACCTGGCGATCGAACAATCATGGACGCGTTGTATCCGTTGTGCAATGCTCCAGTTTCATCGCCAGACAGCAGGGAAGGCAAAGAAGGGTCAAAAAGCTCCCTTGCTCATGATTATCGGCAAGACCAAGACGGCAACTTCAATCTAGTCGCAGAAGCATGCCGCCGAGCCCACGAAGGTGCTCTGAGCACGAAAGGAATGAAACCTAAACTAGGAAGAGCAGTTTATGTACAATTGAAAGAGGAATTGGAGCTCCCCCCGGATCCAGGAGCGTGGGGCGTCGCGGTGCTTGCACAGGGTTTCTTGGATGGATTCTGTGAGCGGGAAAGGGAAGATTTGTAGACTGTAGGTAAAGAAAACTTGCTTCTCCAATACAACAGTCCTGCTTATAGGTTTTTTTCTGTTACCAATGAGACCATCGCCTTCTTAGCTCAGTGGTAGAGCGTTGCACTTGTATCAGACTCGTAACCCCCTTGAGGACTAGATACTTACATTAATGCAAAGGTCAGTCGTTCAATCCGGCTAGGAGGCAGCACAGGATTTACTTTCCTTTTTGTGGCATGTATTTTTTTCTATGATGAAACTTTTCCCGACACCACCGTCGAATGTATTAGACAGGTCATCCTTCTAAGATTGTTTTTCGGACAGCTCGACGTTTTCTATGTAATCAAAGAACACCACCGCCGCAATTCCTCTCATTGCTCTATTCACATCCTTTAGTATGAGTGTAATTCTTCCAAATGGCTCAGAAGCTTCCTGTAATTTCAGGTACGTTGTATCCCTGAACTCGAAGTATATTCTGATTTGCAGATAAGTATGGCTTCCAGGATAATCTGGCGAGGAAGTTCTTCTTCCGATTTGCTCCCGGGGGCTTTCTACTGTGCTAGCAAATCACTTCGTGATTCGGCCTATTCCCCGGAGATGAATAGTCCTTTACAACCAGTCACGACTTGTACTTACTTCAACCTTTATGCTACCGAACAGCTGCAATCTCCGCACCTCTGTTTTTCTGCCCCCTTTCTGGCACCCTTCATGTGATTGCTGACGTTCGTTATCTGCGCACAAAAGGAAGTCCTTCCAATTTATCAGCCCCATCTCGCTGGAAGATGAACCCTATTTTTATACAGTCTCTGGGAACTAATCACGGATTCAACGGTTTAGGTAGGTTGGGCTCCCATTTTATGAGTGAAGTCTGAAATTTTCGGGGCCTTTTCGGTATACAGCAATATGAGCTAGCAAGTAGCTCGAAGTTTTTAATAGGTGGAACACCTTCCCTCTTTAACGCTCAAGACTTCTCTTTCTTGTGGATAGTGGATAGGTTGAGATAAGATCACCGGATAGGTAGACCGGTAATTTTCAGGCTCATCCTTATTGCAACATGTCGGAATTCTCATTGCTTGTCTGAGGACACACTTGGATGAGAATACGGATGATGCAAACGTACGTACTTCTCCTTGGCTTCCCATCGTGTAATGTGTTTTTTTCCCAAAACGAGCTCATCATCCATGTACTCATTTTCCGAGGTTAAGGACCATGAGAATAGATCCGCGATATGCCAGGCTACTAGAATTCAGAGATGAATGAACCAATCCTGAGGCTTTTCAGCCCTGCTCGCTTGAGCCTCTTTGAAGGCTATAAAAAGGATAAGACTTTACGAAACTCCCTTTGCACCATTATACCTTGTCCTCTCCAAATTTTGCATAGACATGACCATCATACTATACGACTTTCCTGCTAAACGGAACGAGCACACTGCTTGGAACCCGAATGTATGGAAGGCGAGGTAGACTGCATCGTTGTTTTTATTTGATTAGGGCTGACGTTGTATTCTGTCTAGGTATAGTCTTGTTTACAAGAGTCTCCCATACAGAACGGTCTTGGTCGAGTTTCCTGACCTTGAACATACGATGCGGGAACTTGGTGCTGCACCTACCGAAACTAAACCCGACGGAAGTCCGAAATATACGCTTCCGGTCATCCATGATACCGTCACAAATGCCGTCGTCTCAGACTCAGTCGCTATAGCACAATACCTCGACGAAACGTATCCGTCTCCACCTCTTTTTCCCAATGGCACACACGCATTCCACGCGTCTTTCAATGATCTATTTCCAGCTAGAATCGAGCCCATGCTTCAGTTTCTCCTGCCATCGATTGCATCCGTGTTAAATCCACGAAGCGAAGAATATTTTCGCCACACCCGGAAGGAAATGTTCGGGATGGACCTAACTGAGCTATACCCAGCCAAGGGGTCAGAGAAAAGGAATAGAGAATGGCGGAAGTTTGAGGAAGGCTTTGGCATGTTGGATAAAGCTATGAGAAAAACAGATATTTTGATCATGGGAGGGAATGCTCCATGCTTCGCAGATTTTACTGTCGCAGGCTGGTTACATTCTTTTCGGACCGTGTTTGGAGAAGATAGTGAGGAATGGAACGATGTGTTGCGTTGGCATGAAGGAAGATGGCATAAATTTATGAAAGCGCTGGAAAAATACGAGAGTGATGTTGTACAGCCTGTTTTTGCAAGACTGTAGTTTCGGTACGATAGTTCATAGAATTTTCTAGTACTCCTACCACAAATGGGAACATCCCTTGTCTGTAATGCAAAGCTCACTGAGTAGAAACAAGCTTTAAATGGTTTATAAAAAATATGTTAAGGAAGTCCGAAGATCTTTAAACAGGCGACATGACCCAAGAGCTAGTATTTCGACTCACTTTAGTGCCGCGAGTGCGTAGGGCTATCGCGAGTTTTGTAGGGACAAGGCTAACGTGCGGCAACACGCGCTCAATTATTTCACACCCTTTCGTTGTTCATCATTGTTCGAATTTGAAGCTCATCTAGGGGTCTCTTTGACGACTCTTGCTCTCTATATTGACAAAATATAAGTTATTTTCCAGGAATTCTGAACTGCCGAGGTTCTGCTCAGTAACCGAACATTGGACATGATGTCATCTGCATATTTAATGAACAGCCATGCTCTTTACAGGCGCTGACAACGCATTTTTGCACTTCTCCATCATCTTGATTTTGTTTGGGATTCCTCAAATCTCTTCCTCAGAATCACCCATAGCATATACTTATACCTCGGAATCCTCCGACTGAAAAATAATATTCAGCTTTCAAAGAATCACGAAGAATCGCTACTGGTTGGCACGATAGATGATTTATCTGGGCCTAATTCGAGCTGGGCTGTATGCGGTTTTGGTTCATCTTTTTTCTTGCCAAGTGTACTGGACTTTCTTAATGGACTCCTCTGCTTCGCTCCTGTGATAACAGCTGGTCTTCGCTTTCATTTTATTCGTGCTTTGTTGCGTTAGAATCAATGATACTCTGCAGGCAAACTTTTATGGTACGTCTCCGTATAAACGCTATTATGACTTACCCTGCACACGATACTAACCCAAACTTTTGACAAATTTCAGACCCAGTCATTGCCGAACTACTCTTCACCTCAATCGTAACCATGCTATGGTGTGGGCTGATGTACGTTCCTACAATTCTTATCATGATGAACTCTTATATGTCCTCTGTATAGGCTGTGCATATTCTTTGTGGAAACCCTCAAATTCGAGTTTATACGACTATACTGGCAAGAACTTATCGGTTTGGTGATACTATGGTTCTTCTGGATCGGAGGTGCTGCTGCTGCATCGGTAAATAACGTCTTATCCAAAACCCTAAACCTAAATGACGCTGACGACGATTTCAGAACATATTCGGGGACCTCGAGTTATGCCAGCAATTTCAAGCGTGTCAACTTCTTTCTGCTGTGCTGGCTTTCGCATGGCTCGGGTGGATTGTTCTTACGGTAATGCTGATCATTTCAATTGTGGTTATGATAACAGCAACGCGCGATGGACGGAAGGTTCTTGATGAGCCATTACCGACCAGAGCAGCTCGTTAATTAACTATTTATCTTTCTCTAAACAATTGCATCTGTTAAAATTCACGCAGTAAGGAAGATTTCGGCCAGTTGCGACCAAAGTGTCCGGCCAAGGAATCTAAGTGAAGGGACATACACGGACGGAGCTCCCACTGGCAGGGATGGACCAGTGGGTTAAGAGCGAGGTTAAACTTGAATGATAATTGAGCTAATCAATGAGTGACAGAGGACGCGACAAGGGACGCAACAAGCGTTCAAGCTCAAGTTGCACCGTGAATTGCACAAGACTCAGTTCGGCTAGTCAGACACGACATGCCTTCAAGACAGTCAAACCTGATCACTTATTGTGTGCAACCATCTTACCGCCTTTTCTTTGTTATTCATGACTATTGTTCAACTCAAATTGTTTAAACACAATCGGACGCTATGATTATGGTCGTTGATCTTGGCCAGGATTGATTGAGATTGTGAAGCTTAAAAGCTCTTCCTCGAGATGCTCGTCACTCATTCGTATTCTGAACTTTCACTTTCCCTACTACAGGAAGGGCCTCAGTACATCCGTCGTTTTCGGCAAGCAGATTCAAAGGAATACCCTCTATCCATCGAAACAGGGACGTGCAATGGCTAATCTAACATCTTCGAGCCGAGTATTACCTGACCATGGTGTGTCTTATTCTATCGAAGGAAACGGGGATTGACAATTCCTTCAATTTCCGTTGTGTATTACAGCTACCTATACTCCTTCAATTTACTTTCATTTTGTTGGGTAAGAATCAATGCTACCCTGGAAGAAAAAAATCTAAGGTGTGCCTTCGCTTTGAGTGATACACTGACTAGAAACTTTGCTCGACTAGATTCAGTGGTTGCCAAATTGCTGTTCACCTCGGTCATAACCATGTTATTGTGTGCGTTGATGTATGTTTTTCGCTCATTTCTTTTCTATCCGCTTATATACTTGTGGTTGTCCATCAGATAGATTACCTTCTTGTGATGGAAATAAATTTGGACCATAATATCATCGGCCTGATGGTCTAGTAGTATGATTCTCCCTTCGGGCGCTTGCTCGTGGCCTAATGGCTGCTTAATTGGGAGAGGTCCCGGGTTCAATTCCCGGTCAGGCCCTGATCTTTTTGAATTTCTGTTTGCCCGTTCGTTTTTTTTTGCAACTGAAGGAGCAGAGCGGACCCTTTAGATCGTACGTAGCCTGAGGTTCAGAAAATGTAGAAATTTTATATGTGTATGTAATGATTTTCCCAATGAGTATGTTCCAAAAGTGTGAGACAATTTAGCCCTTGAATTTGAACTTTCATGACCCATGGCCTCCAATCCGCCTTTCGTTCTTCATGAATACAAACATCAGTATCCTGAGCGCTCTCAACATCGTCCTCATCTCCCACCAATTCCTGATTTGCGTTTTGAACCCAGTTATCTACGGAGCATACAGCCATATATCCGTCTACGTACGTTGAAACCCGGACACAAATCTACGGTAAAGAAGGGTGCGGCCTCGAAAGGAAGAGTCGATCAGGAAGATGGTAAAACAAAGCAGAAAATAGAGCAGGAGGCTGTAGATGTTGAGTGGAAGCAAGTCCTGTGGGTCACTGCGCGAGACCAGATATTGAGTCCACTGTTCCAAGGCGCGCTCTGG